GAGACGCAGGAGGAGGAGACGCAGGAGGAGGAGGAGACGCAGGAGGAGGAGGAGGAGGAGGAGACGCAGGAGGAGGAGGAGGAGACGCAAGAGAGACCGAACAAGAGGCGAGGGAACGAGAGTAAGATACGACGGCATCAGAGCAAGACCTCACCGACGGGTCCAGCGTTCCCTTCACCACCTTCGTCTGCTTTTCTAGTCAAGTCCATAACAAACTCCATCCTCCTCCCCTCCCCTCCCTCCCTCCTCCTCCTACCTCTTGTCGCAGTCCGCAATGAGGTACAGAGATCACTGTCAACTCCCAGTCATTATCATCTTTTCTACTGCTCCTACTCCCTCTCCTCCTCCTCCGCCCCTTCCTCTGATTCTTCAGTCTCTGCCCATTCTGCTCCGCGTCTTCTCGAGCTGGCACCAGCACTTTCCTGCTCCCGCCCGCTACCCCTCCTCCTCGTCGCTCACCTACATAGGCGTCGGAGGAACCTGGAGGGCATCAGGTGGAGCGGAGGAGGAGGAGAGGGACCTAAGAACTTGCTGTCCCGGTAGGCCCCGTCGGAGCAGGGGAGGTTGAATGCTTTCTCGACCAAAACCTTCACAACCAATCACTGAAATCACGTTCAAGGCTGGGAACGAGCAGGAGCAGGAGCAGGAGCAGGAGCAGGAGCAGGAGCAGGAGCAGGAGCAGGAGCAGGAGCAGGAGCAGGAGCAGGAGCAGGGGGAGGCGTATATGAACACATGCGGGTTGAGGGGAGCAGGAGCCTTGGTTATGTTTCTTTGCTTACCTTGACTAACCATTCCCCTCGCGGAGCTTCTTTGAGCTGCTTACCTTGAGCCTCCTCCTCCTCCTCCTCCTCCCTCCCAGCGCTCTCAGCTCCCTCCTCCTCACTCTTCTCTGCCATCATCCTCGTGAACACTCGCGGCAGTGCCACGTCGCTCAACTTGTAGATCCTCGACCGGCACGCGTACGCGCACAGCGAGCAGCAGAGGCAACTGACGCCAAAGACGATGGGGAGGGAGACGAAGAGCATCGTCTGCTGCGAGAAAGAGCTCGAGCTCGTCGCGTTCGCCGCGGGGCTGCCGCACTGACAGCCGATGAAGGTGCAGCTGCAGGAGTCATTGTTGTTCCTCCATGCGCAGTGAGGGTTCGACTTGCAGCTCTGTTCCTCTCCGATGGTGTAGCCTGAGAGCCTCTCAGTCTCGAGCTCGCAAGCTGCAGGACCTACACATGGCTACTTGACTCGGATCCACCAGCGAGTCCCCGCACACTCCGCGGAGAGAAGAGTTGCTAGCAGGACGCGCGTGTTTGCCGTGCCCTCCGCAGACAGCGACGCACCAGAGGGTGGCAGAACCCTCAGCGACCCACCGGCCTTGTGCGAGGCTTACCCTTGAGTTCCAGCACAAGCATGTTGCTGCTTCCGCGTCCTTGCAGACAAGCACGAGCAGCAAGAGGCTGAGAAGAAACAGAGATGGACCGCCGGAGGTCATCTATACCTTGACTTTGAACTTTGGAACGTGACATGGACGTGACATCCCTCTCATCCGGAGTCCTTTCCCCTCATTCCTGACCTGACCTGACCTGTCCTGTCCTTTCAAGTCCTCTCCTCTCTGTCCTCTCCTCTCACAAGTCCTCCAGTCACGGTCGCTTGCCACCGCCTGCCGCGGCAGGTTTTTGTTGGCCCCATTGTCACCGCAACCTGGTCAACTTTCACTGAAGTGGACCCTACTACCCCCCACTATGACCATCAAGGTACCCCTCCTCACTTCTACAACAGAAAGTTTGGCCGCTTTGGGACTCCCGCCGGCCCTGCGGCCCCCGGGCCCCGGGCCCGGCCGCGCAAACTTCGAGTTTCAAACTTTGAGCCTTCAAACTTGGAGGTGTCGAATAATCAAAGTTTCCGACAAAGTTCGATGCCGAGTCACTGGATCATCCAGGGGGTCATCGGGTTTGCACTGAAAGGAGGGGTGCGGGCACAACAACATGTCTGTCACAGAAGGGTGGGTACAGATTTACCCAGGGGGTAGGGTCACCGAGTCTTAAAATTGTTTTTCACAAATTCTCCCGAAATAGAATCAAATTTGAGGTTCTCTTTCCTGCCACCCCTCAAACTCCAGGACCCCCTTGATGATCCCCTACCCCTACCCACTTTTCCCTACTCACTACCCCTTATTTTATAGTGAAGTACCCCTCGTACCGGAAATGTGTCCAACCCGCTCCCTTCTCCCTCCTAAGAGATGTAAGGGACTACTAGGGTGGTAGATTCAAACTGGGGGTGAGGGTAGTCAAATCATCCCTCACTACCCCAATTTTGCCATTCATTGACCCCTTATTTTGAGACAACCCAACGTTTGAAGGACTACCCCTACCTGCTCAATTCACCCCACCCCCCGCGGGCATCCACGTGCTTGCTCACTTCCCTCAACAGGCGTCAGCTCCTTCTCACCCCCACCCCCCTCGCTGCTGCTGCTGCTGCTGCTGCTGCTGCTTCTCTCTGTCCTCCTCTCAGTCCTTCTCTCAGTCCTCCTCTCTCTCTCTCGTTCTCGAGCTCCTCTACTTCCGGGGCTCTGCATTGTTTCTTCCTGGCAGGAGCACGCTGTCGCGTAAACCCTCAAGACTCTCACGAGACGAACGGGAGCTTGCCCGTTCGTCTTTTCTCAAGCTCTGCAGACACCGTTTTCGGCAGAAGCCATCTCTTCACAGCAGCCCGTGTCGTTCAACACGTTGGATCAGAAGCGCAGAGCCTGTTGAAAGCCTTGTAAACCTGCAAGATGGGTTACGGTGGGATGCCGCGAAAGAAAAAAGATGACATCGACTGGGACAACCTCGAGACCGAAGTAGCCGAGGTTGAGAAACAACCAGAACAATCTGGGCAGGGGCAGTCGAAGACCCAGGCCAAGAAGGACAAGCGGGCCAAGAAGAAGGGCGGCAAAGGGGACGACGATGACGACGACAAGCCCTTCAACAATGTGGCCGACGAGGACGAGGAGGACGATGCTATCGCGAAGCCTGCCAAGAAGGGCAAAGACAAGAAGGGAGGCAAAGGAAAGCCAGCCTCCTTCGCTGATCTGCCCAACGAGGATGACGAGGCAAGCCTTGCTACCCTCCTGACTGCTTGTGCTCAACCCCTTTACAGGACGCCAGTGAGCCCGAGGAGCCTGTAAGCAAGCCCGCCAGTAAGAAACAAGGCAAGGGCAAGGTCGACTTTGCTGCTCTCCTTCCGGATGAGGTGAGAGATGGTTTCCTGGTGCTCGTTCTGATTGCAACAACTAGGACGAACAGGATGAAGACGCGGATGAGGAAGATGAGGAGGAGGAAGCCCCCAAGGCCAACGGGAAGGTGAGGACAAAGTGATGCGATGTGGGTCAGTAAGAAGCCTCACAGTCGAAGAAGCCCAATGCCAAGAAGGTTGACGACGAGGACGAAGACGAGGTCTTGTCACCATCGCCCTTGGTGTCAAACTGAGTGGTTCCTCAGGATACTCCCAAGAAGGGCAAGGGAAAGTCACAGGGAAAATCCAAGGTTGTAGCAAGTTTCGCTGCCTTGAGCATGGAGGATGAGGAAGAAGATGAGAAGGACGAGGACGTGAGCTCACCTGCCCTGTCTCGCGACTTCAATTGCAGCCAACCTGATGTGCAGCCACAGGAAGAAATGGAGGTCGAGGAAGAGGAGTCGTCCAAGGCCAGCAAGAAGAAGAGCAAGAAGAAAGAGTCGAAGAAGGTCTGCCGCACTCTTGTTGCCAAGTCCTTTGACCCTCCTCGCCATCAGGAGGAGACCAAGGAGGAGAGGAAAGGAGGCGGATCCGAGCTGGAGCTTCCGAGCTTGACCCTCGAGGAGCAGAAGCTGTTGAAGGATGCGGTGAAGAAGTCGGGCAGGCCGTTCGAAGGGGTTGTGGTCGGTCTGATCCAGTCTTGCAACAAGCATCCCAAGGCCGACAACCTGATGATCCTGCAAGTGTCGGACGGAGGCTTCGGCAACGCTCAGGTCATCACCAACGCCAAGAACGTGGCGGAGGGGCTCAAGGTTGCGTTTGCGCCCGTTGGAGCAGAAATTTTTGACGAGGAGCTCGGGGCTGGCACGACGACCGTCAAGTCGGTGAAGCTCAAGGGTATCAACTCGGCGGGCATGCTCTGCTCGGGGAAGCTGCTGGGGCTCAACGAGGAGGAGGGGCAGGCGCTGGTGTTCCCCGACAACACCCCTCTGGGTCTGGGGGTGGCGGAAGCTTACTACCGCGTGCTGCACCCCGAGATGCTGCAGGCGCTGAAGGACCATGCGGAGGCTGAGAGGAAGGCGATCGAGGAACGCGCAGCGGCCAAGAAAGCCGAGCAGGAGGCAAAGAAAGCTGCCGCCGCTGCAGCGTCTGCTGCCGGAGGAGGAGAGGAAGAGGGAGAGGGAGAGGAGAAGGCGGGAGAATCCTCCAAGAACAAGAAGAAGAAAGGAAAGGGGGACGGAGACAGCAAGCCCAAGAACGCGAAGCTCGCTGCTCTGCAAGAGATGCAGAGGCTTCTCCGTGAGGAAGAAGAGAGGATTCGGAAGATGGAGGAGGAAAGGAAGAAAGAGGAGGAAGAGGCTCTGCGCTTGCAGCAAGAGATGGAAGCTGCGGAGGAGGAGAGGAAGCGATTGAAGAAGGAGAGGAAGAAGGAGAAGGAGGAGCAGCTGCGAAGAGAAGGAAAGCTCTTGTCGAAGAAGCAGAAGGAGCAGCAGGCTAAGAACGAAGCCTTCCGCAAGACGCTTGAAGAGCAGGGTATGGTTCCTCCTCGAATCAACAACGAGAGCGACGACGAGGAGGAGAAAGGAAACGAAGCAGGAAACAACCAGACCAAGAAGCTCTCCAAGAACGAGATTCTCCAGCTCGAGAAGGAGCGCAAGCAGAAGCAGAGGGCGCTGCAGGAAGAGCGGGAGAGGAAGAAGAGGGAGGAGGAGGAGGCGAGATTGAAGGCCGAGCAGCTTGCGAAGGAGCTTGCCAATGTCCAAGACAACTGGGAGGACGACGAGGACGCAGACGTAGGCGGAGGCGGAGGACTGTGGAGAGCTCTGACATGTTGACAGCAAGGGAAGGACGAGGAGGATTCGTCGGAAGACAGTGGCAGTGGGAGCGAGTACGACTCTGACGGGAACAAGCTCTCCAAGACGCAGAGGCGGACGAGGAAGGCGAAGAAAGCGGCACAGGCGAGGCGAATGAAGCAGATGGAGACGAATCTGCAGAAGAAGTCGAAGGACAATCTCAGATGTCCCGTCGTCTGTGTGCTGGGCCATGTGGATACAGGTGACGCGTGCTCCTCTCTTCTTCACTCTCGTTCCCCTCTTGTCCTCTCCTCCTCCTCCTCCTCCCTTTCTGGCTATCCTCCAAACGAGTCAATGAGGAATGAAACATGCAACAACTTTACTGAAGCTCAGTGCTGAACAACTGTTTTGAGCTTTTTAACTCTGAGACTCTCCTGCTCCTGCTCCCCTTCCTCCTCCCTGGACCTCCTCGATCTTACCTTATCCTGCTCAGGCAAGACGAAGATCCTCGACAAGATCCGCCGCACTAATGTGCAAGATGGCGAGGCAGGAGGAATCACCCAACAGGCAAGAGGATCTGGAGCAGAAGTTGGTGGGTGCGGGGAGCTGATGGGCACGAGCAGATCGGAGCTTCCTTCTTCCCCATCGATGCGATTACTGAGAAGACTCGTCCTGTGATGGAACTGCATAAAGTAACTTCCTCCCTCTCCTCCCTCTCCTCTCCTCTAACGGTGCCTGCAGGTGGAGTACAACGTTCCCGGTCTGCTCATCATCGATACCCCCGGACACGAAAGTTTCACCAACCTGCGCACACGAGGATCTTCTCTCTGCGATCTTGCGGTGTGCAGCCCCCCTCCCCCTCCCTTTCCTCCTCCTCCTGCCCCATCTGATCCTCCTCTCCTTCCTCCTTGCTGACGCTGGGCGGGCAGGTGCTGGTCGTGGACATCATGCACGGGCTGGAGCCGCAGACGATCGAGAGCATCGGGCTGCTGAAGAAGAGGAGAGCTCCCTTCGTGATCGCCCTAAACAAGATCGATCGCCTCTACGGATGGGAGCCGCACCCCGAGCTGCCTGTCCAGCAGGCGCTGGAGATGCAGGCGGACTCGGTGAAGGCCGAGTTTCAGCAGCGCTATGACTTCGCCGTGAGGCAGCTGCAGGAGCAGGTGGGAGAAGAGAGGGAGAGAGGAGAGAGGAGAGAGGGGGGGCTGGAGGAGGACGTGGAGCTGACGTCTGGTGCAGGGGCTCAACGCTTGTGTCTTCTATGAGAATCAGGACGTGCGAACGTTTTTGAATGTGGTGCCGACGTCAGCCATCTCAGGGGACGGGATGATGGACCTTCTCTTCCTCCTCTCCACTCTGCCGGCGAAGATGCTCATCGACAAGATCATGTACCACGAGAACCTCGAGTGCACCGTGCTGGAGGTGAAGGCGATCGAGGGGCTGGGAACCACCATGGATGTGATCGTGGTGAACGGGAAGCTGAAGGAGAAGCAGAAGATCGTCGTGTGCGGGCTGGAGGGGCCGATCGTGACGCAGATCCGATCGCTGCTGACGCCTCAGCCGATGAAGGAGATGAGGGTGAAGACTCCTTACATCCACCACCAGGAGATCAAAGGCGCTATCGGCGTCAAGATCTGCGCCAACGGGATCGAGAGGGCGCTGGCAGGGTCGAACCTCTACGTTGTGGGCGAGGACGACGACGAGGAGGAGCTCAAGGACGAGGTCATGAAGGACCTTGGGGGCATCCTGAAGAAGGTCAAGAAGAACGAGGACGGCGTCTACGTGCAGGCCTCCACCCTCGGCTCCCTCGAAGCTCTACTCGAGTTCCTCGAACGCCCGGGCGAGGACCGCGACGGCAACCCGAACCCTCCGATCCCGGTGTCGGGCATCGGCATCGGCCCTGTGTCCAAGTACGACGTGATGCGGTGCGGGGTGATGCTGGAGCGAGAGAGGGAGTGGGTGAAGATGTGCGAGAAGGAGTACGCGCAGGTGGGGGAGTGGGTCAGCGGAAACCCGCTCAACTCGTTCAAGGAAGCCTACGCCTGCATCCTCGCCTTCGACGTGCCGGTGCTGCCGGACGCCGAGAGGTCGGCCAAGGAGATCGGGATCCCCATCTACACAGCAGAGATCATCTACCATCTCTTCGACGCCTTCACCAAGCGTGTGGCAGACATCAAGGCGAAGAAGAAGGAGGAGGCGAAGAAGAAGGCTCTCTACCCCGTTGTGTTCAAGATCGTCGACGAGCGGTGTGTGTTCAACAAGAAGGATCCCTACATCCTCGGTATCGACGTTGTCGAGGGAACCCTCAAGCTCGGACTCCCCGTCGTCATCCCCAACGTCAAGTGGACAGGCGACGCTAAGACGCAGACGGCAGCGACGGAGCTGCTGGAATTCGGGCAGGTGATGTCTATCGAGAAGGACAAGAAAGCCATCGACTCGGCCACGAGAGCCTCGGGCAACGTCGCCATCCGCATCGAGCAGCGCAAGAACATGAAGGAGTACACCTTCGGTCGCCACTGGACGCACGAGAGTCTCTTCGTCAGCCGCCTCAATCGCGAGAGCATAGACCTGCTCAAGGAGCACTTCAGGGATGAAGTTCCCAAGGAGGACTGGAAGCTGGTGGTCAAGCTTAAGAAGCTTCTTAACATCCCTTAGATCAGCTCAGCCCTTGCTGAGTCTCCACCCTGTCCTGTAGCAACCAACACGTTTGAGAGTGAATCATGTTTCTTTATGTTGCTCTATGTACACCAGAACTCCTCCCCCCCCTCGTTCACCTCCCCCTTCCTCCCCTTCAGTCCTCTATCATCTCCGGCATGCTCACTGCCACGGGCGTCACGGGAGGCAGCGAGAAGCTGCTGCTCATCCTCGTGCTCTCCAAGTTGTTGGCCCTCGCGTCCTCCGTGTCGCCCGAGGGCCACGCGAGCTCAGGCTTGATGGGAGGGAACAGTCCGCGCGTGTTTCTCCTCGCCAGCGACTCGAACTTGTCCAGGTTCACCTTCACGGCCTCGCTCGATCGGTTCGGCAGCGCCGCTTCGTACCCTAGCAGCGGGAAGGAGGAGAGCTCGTTCGGACTCATCGTCCTGCTCGCGGTGAACCGAGTCGGCATCGTCGCAGCAAGCGCTTGCTCCACTCCGTCCTCCCATCGCGACATCCCCCGCTCCTCCTCCTCTAGCGCGTAGCTCACCTTGTGAACCGGAGGGTCGCTGCTGGCAGGGCGCAGCTTGAGCTTACCGAGCTCCTCGTGCTTGAGGTAGGGGGGAAGGATCTGAGCGATCTTGCTCCCTCCCTCGCGAGCCCTGACGGCCTGATGCTGCAGCTGGACGTTCTCCTGCTGGGGGACGTAGGAGGAGGCCCAGGGGTGGCTGGGCTTGAGCTGGGAGCTCTTCTTCACGCTCTGCTTCTTGGCACGTTTGGATACCTCAGGTCGTTGACTTTGCAACGCGCGAGCGTTGTGGGCGTCAACCGTTGCGAGTTGCGTCTGCTCCTCTTCCAACACCCTCCTCGTCACCTCCTCTAGGGTCGCTCTTCTGTACTTGTTCTTCTGCCTCTTCGCCGTCATCAGCAGCGTCCCCAAGTTGCCCTCCTGCATGGCTTGGATCACAGCCTCCCGCAGCGCTTCTTCTCGCTGCTCCACCTCCATGTCCACCAGCGTCACCCAGTTGTTGAAGGTCAGGACAACGTTGGCGTTCTTCCAGCGGTAGGAGATGTGGGAGAAGATCTCGCGATTCCTCTTGTTCTCTTCGTACGTCTTCTTCCAACCCTCGAAGCATTTCACCATCGGCCTCTTGGCGATTCTCAGGAGCGTTCGACTGCCTTTTGCTGCCATCTCACGTTCTGCCAGCTTTCTGTCTCGGATGATGTTCTTCCACAAGTTCCACAAGGACTGCACAAGCTTCCTGTATAGCGCCAGCAACGCTTGTCTGACCGTCGCCTTCCTCTCCTGCTTCATCTGCACGAATTCTTGCCATCCTCGAATCAGCGGCATCGCTCCTCGCAGCTGGTACCGCATGCGGAAGCGCTCGACCGTCTTCCTGTAGTGGATTTGCTCTTGCGCGTGCTCGTCGAGGGCACGGAAGGCGTGGATGACGGTCTTGTTCTGCCATACCAGGATGGCGTCGCCGACCAGCGAGCGGTTGTAGAGCAGCTCGTCGATGTTTCCAGCCAGCTCGTGCAGATAGTGCCTCATCGTCACCTCCGTCCACCGCTGCTTCAACCGCTTGTGCACGTTCTTCAGCCCTTGAAACTCAGCGACGATTTGCTTCCAAGCCTTCCAGGTGGTGTACTGCCTGTAGTGAGTCCTCCTCCTCTTGGCCTTCTGGTTCTCACTCTTCAGCCTCTCCCACTCAGCAAACGCCAACTTCACGAAGTTTCCCGCCAGCAGATGCAAGAAACTGTTGCACTTCTCCTTCACCTTCCCCCACAGCTCTCTCAGGTCGTCCATGTAGTCAGCCCAAAACTCCCACATGCGATCACGAGGGCCCATCTCTCGCTTCGCCATCATCAGAGCCGCGTTGTGCACCTTCTGTCTCTTGCTTGTCTTCCTCTTGGCGTATTCCACCATCGCGTTGAAGCATCGCACAAGCCCCATGTTCAACCACCGACCCAACGTCCGTCCGACCACCACCTTGAAGTGAATCCCCTCGTCCGTGAACTTCGCCCACGTCATCCAGCACTTGAGAAAGCAAGCGTTCTTGAAGAAGTTCCCCAATCGCCGCATCTTCTGCTCGTCCTTCTTCTGTTTGGCGTGCTTCCTTGCTAACCAACCCCTCGCAAACTTTTGCATCTTGATCACAGCGAGCGTAGTCCTCAGCTTCTCCTTCTCTCTTGCAAGCTGCGCTCTCATTCTCCTAGCATTGTTTCCTTTCCATAACGCCTGCATCTTGGTCGCTGCCAAATCGTTGACCTCTTCCAACGTGAACGTCCGACCGTCATTTTTACTTCGCAGTCGCTGATAATACGCCCTCGCCCCCTTCATCTTCTTAGAGAACATGCAAGCCTTTCGTCGCCTCCAAGCTGCTTGCATCTTCACCGCAGCAAAGGCTTCAACGCTCTCTGTGCTCATGCCCACAAGGGAAGGGCGGAGGTTGCTGATGAACTTGAGGTAGCTACCAAGCGCTCGTTGCCTCCGTGCTCGCTTCCATGCCAGGTGAACTCTGATGGCGCATTGAATGATGATGGCGGCTTTGGTCTCGAGCTGGTGAGTGTGTAGCTTCCTCTTCCGCCATAGCTTTCGCCTCCCCAGCCTCCCCCTGTACGCCCCCTGCAGCCGCACCGCCGCCGCCTCCTCCCGCATCGCAGCCAACGGAAACAGTTCTGCGAGCGCACTCATGAGGGGGGGTCCTCTTGCCTTGTCCACTAATGAGGGGTAGGGGTATGGTTCTGGGGTATTTTCCTCCTTGGGGGTGGAGAGACTATGACTCATCACCGGTTAAATAGAAGAGGTCAAAGGGGGTGGTATATGAAATTGGTGGGGTAGTAGTCAAGAGGCAAAGTTGAGATGGGGTGGGGTAGTCGTACCCTCAACGTGGGCTTGGGGTAGGGCCGGACGTTGATAGTCGTTGACTTTTCCGTTACAATCGTTACAAAACGACCGAACACAAAAGGGGCTATATGACAGCGGCACACCGAGCGAGGGTTTGCCTTGGTCACGTCTATTTACACTATCATCATCATCATCGTCGTCGTCGTCGTCGTCGTCGTCGTCGTCGTCATCATCATCATCCGCTACATGCCTTCCTAGCAGAACAAGCCTCGCTTGGTCCTCGATCGCCGAGCAACCCACTCGCCTCGGTCGGGTAATGGGCTGTTGTTCACTGTTTCCTTGAGGAGACGGGAAGGAATGAGCAGCTCCAGAACCCTGGCAAACCTCTGGAAGACAGCAAGGTTGACAAGAGATCTCCCATCGAGACCTGCACGACCAGCCGATCAGAGGAAGAGGAGAAACACGAGGAGAGAAGGACATGGTGGAACTTCGTTTGCAGTCAGCAGCCAGTTCTTCACAAACTCTCCGTCCATCTCGAGTTTCTTGGCGCCCTGCCAGTCGGAGTCATGCACAACATGGCGACAGTGTTCTGAACCTGAGGGGCGATCCGAGCCTTGGTTCTCAACAGGTGGGTCTGCCGCCAGGTCAGCCCCATCCGCTCATCTCCATACCCTCACCAGCAGGCTCTCGATCACTGCGTCCACGATGCGCGGCCCAAGCTCCTGCACTGGGAGTCACGCGAGGCCACAGCACACAGGAGACCTGCCTGGGTCGCTTCGACTGGCAGCAAGTAGAGGGTCTCCATGGCAGGCGAGAGCAAGTCTGAAACCAGACGCTCCATGTACATGCTTGGACCGTCCCTGCTGCGACCTGTCGCCCATTCACCTGCTCCTTTCAGGTCTAGGAGGGGCTGAGCTGCCTGACGAATCATTTCCAGCAAGAATTCTGAGGAGTGTGATAGAAGTTTACGGCATCCGTTAGCGATCGTCTCCAACCTCTCCGTTGCAAATCTTTCGCTGGGCTGCGGCCCAGCAGCACTGGCCTGCCCCATGCTGAGCTGCACTTTGAGCTGAGCCGAGAGCTGGGCTGAGAGTGACTCATATCCAAGGGAAATCTTGGTGAGGTCACCGTAGAGGAGGAAGAGAAACTTGAGGGAGCGGCTGCGAGGGTAATGGTTCTTCTGCTGGGAGTACCACGAGAGGAGAAAGGACATCATCACATGAAGGCGAGACATGACACATGACCGCATTCGCACAGAAAGTCGAAGATCGCACTGCACCAAGCTTGACACTGTATCCAAGAAAACGAGGGCGTGATACCCCACCGATCCCATCTCTGTCCCATCGTTGATCTTCACTCTCTCGTCACGCGTCACTTCCTTTCGCACAGCATGCATCAGCCCAAGCGAGGAGCTCCAGAGCAAGTTGTCCACCAGGACATTGGACGCCTGATACCTCGAGGTTGGGAAGTTGAGTCGGTGGCTGTCGAGGCTGTCGGAAAGTGACCTTTGAAACGAGAAGTTAAGCGTTCCATGGTGATCTTCGTCATGGTCGGTTCGCACGAGAGCGCTTGAGGGCTTCCATCCGACGTTCCACAGGGTCAACGTGTAGTGTTCCTCTGCCAAGTGATGTCCTATCCTGTCCGCCACTGCCGCACTCACAAGACTTCTCCGCACGTCTTCTGAAGTGACGAGACAAGCGGTCCAAACTTGTTGCCACTCTTCTCTTACACACATCGCTGCGATGGGCATAAACCCGCACAAAGGAAGAATCTCTGACAACGAGCTTGACCCAACCCCTCCACGGTATGACCTGCTCAGTTCCTGCGGCCACCAAGCCTCTTCGTCCAATATTGTTTCAAGGATAGCAGCTATGCTCCTCCAATCCTGTCCCAGGAAATTTTTGTTGTCCAACTTCACGCTTGCAAGTCTCTGGCGATACATTTGATCTCGCAAGACGAAAGTGATTTGAATTAGATCTGACAGACTTGTCTGCTTTCTCGATGAGGAATGAGAGTTGACCTTTCTGGTCATCAGCTCAAATAAGTTCAGAGAAGACCTCGGCCATCTGGTACCTCTCCGCTCTTTCTCTTCATCCGTGTGCAAGTCACATTCTAATTGAATTTGTCGAAGCCTCAGGCGAAGGTCTTGCAGCTGGCAAACAAACCTCAACAACTCCCTGATGTTTTGTTTTCTCAATTTCTTTTCACTAAGTAGTGATTTGAATTGTAAAGACAAACACTCCTCTGTTGTACTTATTGTATCATTGATGTCAGACTGGATGGCACATTCGATCTTTGACATGTTGGGTAAGTTTACACCTGGAAGTTTCTCCAGAAAGTACACACGCAGCTTTCTCAATTCGTCTATGTGCTTGCTGTGCACCTCAAGTTCTGAAAACAAAGAAGCATAATCTTCCCTTTCGATCATCGTGCCAAGTTTTGCCTTCAACGATCTCAGCGCAGAAACTCTTGAGAGTACATCACGTCGTAGGGCAAGCGTGCAGAGCTCGCTGCAGGAATTAATCATCAGCTTGTACTTGGCCATGAGATGATTGTTGGCAGACAACGTCGTGAGATCGTTGCCGTTGGTTTCCATGAAGTTCACCAGGAGCGTCAGCGCTCTTTCAGTCGGTTGTCGCAGGAGGCCTGAAAGGGGATCAAGCGTGCTTGCGGCTTCTTCCTGCCGTTTCTCGGGGCCTCGGGGGGAGGGATGGTGTGCGACGTTCCAGTCGGTGGTGCTGTCGAACCCGATGGACATCAGGTCCGAGGTCGACACCACGCTCATATCCCCGTCCGCCATGCTTGGCACGGGCGACCCGGGGATGCTCTGCTGCTCGTCCTCGGGGAACACCGATCCCCCGACAGCCGAGGTATGGATAGGAGGGAGATAATGATGGCTCTCGTGCCCCTGCCCCTGCTCTCCCGCCCTCCTCCTTGCAGGCAACGGCTCCATGCCGCTCAGCCCTTTCCCTTTGAACGACATGCCAGGAAATACAGGAAATAGTTTGTCGTGGATACTACCACGGATACCATCACGGATACAGCGACGGATACAGTCACGGATACTTCGCGAATTGTCGGGATGCACAGTGAAGGAGGGATGGTAAGAGTGAAGGTGAAGGTGAGAAGAAGAGCAGGAGACGGGGGGGGAACAACAGGAGATGTGTCGGGAGATGCCTCAAGCAACACCAACGAGGAGATGACTCTCCCTCCCTGCCTCAGCTCCTTTCAGTTTCAGCTGGGTGCCAACATGGTTCTACCAAGTATCGACCATGCATGCAGGAAGTGCGGGGTCGGAGATAGTTTTGTCTTGACGGAACGAGCATCATCACTCCTCGGCTACGAGTGGTGCGGCCAGTTGGGGCTGAGCGAAGAAGTACAAGTAGATGCGATCATGACGGTCACCGAGGTTCTATATCCATACGAGATGTACAGCAAACGCTTTGATGATAGAGTCGACATGGCAAACAAGATGAAAGAGCAAGGAAATGTAGATTTCCGAGCGAAACGATTCGCTGCATCTTTGAAGCGATACAAGAAAGCTGACGAGCTTTTGCATGACCTGGAACACAAGAATGCCTTCTCCTGGGCATTGCTCGACGAAGTAAAGGCCTCGCGGGCTCTATCAACTCAAGCGACGGTCTTGACGAACATGGCAGCTTGTAAGGCTCTGTTCCTGTGCTTTCTTGCCTCACCAGCTTCAGGTTATCTTGCCCTTGGTCCCCGGTACTCGTCAAATGCTCTGCTGGCCTGCGACAGGGCGATGGAGATCGACAGGACTAGCTGCAAGTGCTTCTACCGACGAGCCAAGGTGCCTCGAGCGCTAGACGCCTGACGTGAGGCAGCTGACCAGAGGCAGGCAAAGATGGCCATGGGGGAGAAGGAGTCAGCGATGGAGGACCTCCGTCAGTGTCTCAGGCACTCGCCTCCTCCCGCATGCTGCTCTGACGTTGGGGTAGGATTGAACCGCACAATCAAGAAGCACTCATGCTCCTCAAGTCTCTCGAGCCCAACGAGGCGTGAAGGAGTGAACCTCGTACCAGGAAGCTGAAGCTGAGGGGCTGCATGCCATCATACGCCATCGCCGTGCATTCAGCATACATCATGAAGCGACGTGATCACTAGCGTCATCCAAGTTTCTTCCGCCGTTACTCCATCCTGATCGACCGAACGTGTATATACACCTCAAGCTTGACCTCCCCTATAGTACATCTTGATGTCTACGTTCCATTTCGCATCTTGGCAACAAGGCGGCGGATGCAGTCCATTGACAACACCTGCAGGCAGGTCAGGCCTACGCGCTCAGGTGGAGGAGGAAGAAGCGCCGGAGCTCACCGTGATGATCGGCCACACAGAGGCGCACGCGAGGATGCCGAAGCCTTCAGAGGCCTGCACGGCTTTACTGCATCCGATACCTGTTGACAGCACGAAAGGGACAGTGACGGGGCCTGTCGTCACTCCCGCCGAATCCCAAGCGATGTTGATGAAATCTTCATGAGTGAAGGACGTGAGGAAAAGAGCCACTGCGTACTTGAGGAGAATGAACCAGATCAAACCTGCCCCAAAGAGAATTTTTGTCGCTCCCACTGCCATGCCTGTCCCGACTCCGAAGCACACGGCATAAATCAACATCTTCTTCGTGAAGGCCCCCTTGGTCATCTTCTCAACAGTAGCTCCGACAACGTTGAGCGCTGGCTCTGCTCTTGTGGCTGCCACACCCAACATGAACATGGTTCCCAGCGCTATCGTGACCCCCACACCAAAAGAGTAATACGGCGAGCCTTCTTCTTGCTGCGTGTCGATGAATGCGGCTGGAAGGAGAGTACCAACCTGATCTCCGATCGACGTGAACCCGAAGTTGAGACCAAGATTGAACATCGCCATGCCCACCTGGGCTTGCAGAACTCCGCACAACAGCACGACATATTTGTGATGTGGTGCAGGCTCAGGTTCAAGGACAATCGGCAAGTGCTGGAGACTTTGACGGTTTTCATCCAAACTGGCAGAATCTCGAGCTTCTGCTGACTTGCGAGAGGGAAGGAGTTCCATCGACATCCTTTCCCCTCCATGATGCACGGCATCTACAGTGCTGTTGAACTTGACCTCCCGTGACATGCGGGATTTTGATTGCTTCGAGGTTTCCTGGGTGTGAATCCTCTCGTCGCTCGTACGCACATACTCCTCAGACCGGTTTCTCTCTGTCTCCTTCACGCTGACACTGATTTCCATTGGAGCAAGGCCAACTCCTCCAGCAGGCTCTGGACCACTAGCTTCCGGAGTGACATTCGAAACGTTGTCTACAGGGATTTCTTGCCAGCTTCGTCTTCTCGATTCATCTCTTATTGGGTGTTCAAGTTCTCCTGTGAAGGCAGCATTCATCAGATCAAGCTCTGACTTGATATTCTCATCAACTTTGACTTCAGGCTTTTGCTCTTTCGCGGTCATGTCAACTTCCTTTTGTTTCCTGTTGGCCAGTTCAACTGAGTCCCTTGACCTCTTTTCAGCCGATCTGCGATCCATCGATTTTCTGAAGGGAAAGTTGGAGGCATGTCGAAATGAGGTAGGAATGCCATTGGCTGTCGCTGCAGTGTAGGCAGTGAAAGCGTCAATTGCCCTGCCAAAGTTCACCAGACCTCCCCGACTGCTGAACTTTGAACCGAAGGTTGTGAAGGACCGAATGAAATCCATTGATTTTCTGAGATCAAGCGATCTTCGGATGTCAAAACTAAATCGGCTATAGGATTGATCTGTGCTTCTGAAGTTCGAAACAAGAAAAGAGTCAGATGAAGGTCAAAAGCATGGTGTCACAAACCTTCTTTCTGAGGATGCCCTCCTGTCGTAGCCCTCGCTGGGGTTTATCACCTCTACAGGAAGGTAGTAGGTGAACTCTGGTAGAGGCTTCCTGAGAACGACCAACACAAGAAGAACCAGAGAGATGTTGAGAGGTAGGATTGCCCTCACTGATAACAATGATCAGCGCCAGCACAAACCCGTTTTTAAGGAAAAGAGAAGGAAGTTCCAAAGTTAGGAGGGAAAACTCAAAGGTCACGTGTAAAAAGGATTTCAGAGACTTGTGGGATCGTACCTGCGTAGTAAATTTCTCGAACAGGAGTGATCTCCAGTGGATCAGATGTGTCGATAGGCGGAGGCCTCATGTTGATGATGTCTTCATGAGTGTATTGCATCTTGAGGCCGATCGCAAGTAATTCAACAGCCAAGACAGGCAGCAATGATGCCAGAGTCACAATACCAAACCCTGAAGGTAGCGAGCGATCAGGGATGAAAATCTTATGATACAGTTACCTTCCAAAGCATCAGCAGCTGCTTGAGCGACTATTTCTCTCCCTCGCATCTTAGCTTCACGTTCTCGGCGCTTTTCTCGCTGCGTCTTCATCACTCCAATACCTAACGCAAGGAGCACTGGAACTGTAACAGGTCCTGTCGTGACAGCACCGCAGTCCCAAGCTAAGCCCAGAAGAGGACGGAGTTCTTTATCTCCCCACCACATGTAACCAGCACACAGGAGGGTCGGGCCCATTAGCAGGGCGATCATCGGCTTCAATGACCAACCCCTGACGAAACGCAGAGTTCCCAACATGGCTGCAAGCCCAACCCCCAGACCAATGCAGAAGACCAGCAGCTCTTGCTTCTCCATGAGAGCGCAGTACAGGTAGGGAGCCACCTCGGGATCGACCAGCCGTGCGAGCGGGCGGAGGGAAGTGATCGCAGGCTCAGCGTAGGTGACAAGAATCCCTAAGAAGCAGGTTGACGCGAGGACCGCAGGAAGCGGAAGCGACTTGGGCAGCTCAGTCCCCAGCTGCTCACTCAGCGGCATGACAACGACACGTAGAGAGTCCACGAAAAGAGTGAGTCCAAGGATGGCAAAGAACATCCCGATCGCTACTTCTCCAGGCGAAGACACCGTCTTGCCGAAAAAGATTCCCATGACCGATATAAGCAGGATAGAGATTGGAATCACGGCCGAAACCTGCTCCATGAACAACCCAAAGTAATGCTCAAAGAGCCTTGCATCTTTGATAGACCATCCACGGTCAAGGAGCTCCTCCTTCCACCGCTCAGCGCTGAGCCATTCAAACATCTGGAAAGGAACAGAGGTTAATCGAGGTATCAACAAGCTTTCGACAATAATGCTGAGCAAATCACATCTTATCCTTTCTGATATCCTTGTCCCGCAACTTGCAAGTCGGTTTCAAACAGTTGTCTCATTCGTCTTCTCTCTTTCACAAGATGTCAAATTCTTATCCTCTTTTTCACATCAGACCCAACATGAAAGAGAAAACAACATAGGCGCCTGGAGCGACGACTGGAGATGGCAAGACAAGAAACGAGAAAAGAAAGGAAAGGTGGTAATGCTGAAACAATGAAGTCGAGAGAATACGATTGACAGCAGAGTGAAAACAAGTGAGGTGGGGAAGCGTGGATGGGGAATGAGGGGGAACAATGCCTGGGGAACGGGGGAACAACGGAAGTGCACGAAGGGAAGCATAATGAAGCAAAATGAAGGGAACAAGAGATGAACACAAGTAGCTGGAGAACAGACAAGAAGACGAAGAGAAGATCAACGAAGAGGATGGCTGCATGCGGCGTGAAGGAGAGACTTCAGCTCGTGCATGTTCGATAGTTGTTTCGCAGCCATTGCAGGGGGAATATAGGGGCAAAAGAATTTCGAGGGGATGTGTGGGGGTGGGGTAGGTACCCTACAACAGAAGCCGATAATGGAGTCAGAAAAGGGGGTGATGGAACAGGAGGAATAAGGGGGGTAGGTGGCGATGGGGTAGGGGGTGTACGTGGAAATGTGGGGATCAAGGGAGTGACCTGCCCAAGCTCATGGGGTAGGGTATTGAAGGGGTGGGGTAGTCTCATGAGGGGTAGTGTTAAAGTATCATACAAACCTATCACAAAAAAAAGCAAATCATCAGAAATGAAAGGTGGGGTCATAGTGGGGGGTTATCATAAGGGGGTAGGGTACATTCAGTAGGTAGGGTACATCGCACAAAGAAGTTCGTAGAGTTAACGTTAAAATATTGATTTAATATTAAATAATAAAAAATAATGTTATATAAAATTTAACGTTAGACATAATTTTAATGCAAAATGCATGTTTTACGCTAATTTCGAAGTGCGCACTGAGAGTTTGTCTTGGGTTATTAGCATATTTAGTTTTTATTCATTGAACGAATGAGTGAAATTTTGATCTAACAATAAGCCAAAGATGTTGAAATAACCTATAATTTGGCTAATAGTTGGGCTAATAGGGGCAAGGGAGCAGTGCGAAGAGAACATGCGAGAAGCTATGAGGGATATGAAAGAGCTTGACATATCATGACATATCATGAGATATCATGAGAGCCAGGTAGATCTGAACTGGAAGAGAAAGCGCGACACAGGATGTTTGGAGCAGACTTTCAGGAAGGTGATCATCAGGATGTCAAGGGAAGAAGGAAGGACAACAGGGCAAATAGTTCGATATGCATGTGAAATTTCTTGACGCATTTGCCTTGCTCTCGACAGGTTTCTAACTCCTTGTCCAGAACCCAGAGTAGTGGATCGACGAGCAATTAAGTTCAAACTTGTGAAGGATTGCCCTGTAAGTGAGCAAGGGAGGAACTTCAACGAAAGTGTTTGAGGTTGTGAGGGTAATCATTCGGAAAAATAAGTGATCAATCTTTGAGTAGTCTTCATTTCTCATAATTTTGTTGCTTTTAATATTAGCCGTAAACATGGAAATTTGTGCTGCAATTTCTAGATCGCCTTACTACTCAACAAAGGTAAATTCGCCTTGGATACTGGTCTAAGATATCCTGACATTGGGGTAAAGATGTCATCCTGTTCAAATCTCAACCTTTGCTGTCGAGTGCCGTCTAGCCAAGGTCGAAGGGCCAAGATGCAACAAGGATCTCTCTCCAAGATCTTCAAATTTCTGTCTATGACTTGTTTGCCCATTTCAACTTCGGTTGCACGTTTTTGCGATGTTATGTCTGAGTGGAAGGATTCTTTGACATCAATGTTCTGCCTTTTGAAGAATGGAGTGTATGCAGTGACTGTCGGAGCTTTCATCTCTGGCCTTGATGTTTTAGATGATCATGCAAGGGGCTCAGAAATATCCAACCTTGGCATCCATGGTGAAGCGGAAGAAGCTCTGGGTATGCTCGAGAGGAACGGTTTCTTGCGTGCTTGGGTCAAACATACGGATTGCGTTGACGGATCAAGTAGACAGGTTTCTGTGACGTTGTCCAAGATAAGGAGAGACATCAGGTAGGGTTAGCTTCTTATCTTCCTGTATGTGCTTACTCTAATGATCATTGACCTTCCGTGACCTTTCAACTCCCCGCAGATTGAATGAAAATGAAGGAGACGAAGAATGTAGATGGACTTCATGTCAAGGTGAAGACTGCTCTGTGTGTATGGATTCTAGTGCAGATGCCACGTTGCACCCATGTGGTCATTCACAACTGTGTCGGAGATGCGCTGTGGTCCTTGTCGTGAGAAAGGGGAAGCAAAACGCCCCAGCATGTCCTCTTTGTCGAGCTCCAATAACGCATGTGACAATTGCCGAGCGATGATGACGCACTTTCGAGATACTTGCGTCTCCTCTTTCCTGTTCTTGTCTGTTGAAGGAAGATGGTATGGGAGCAAGAAAGAGAGGAAGTGAGGGCTCCTTCTATCCTTCTGCGAAGATTCGGTGGCTGGTTTGTTGTACAGTAAAGCCTGAAAGAGCTACATGTAGTTTCTCACACTGACAACCGCCAACGTGGTGCCTCTAGTCCTCTGGTGGCCTGGCAAGGCTCAAGGATCGGCATGAATCGCACATGTTGTACTCTGTGAATGAATCAAGGGAAGTCGAGCAATAATCAGTCACCTTGAATCTCGATTTATTATCGTCGTCGTCCTTGTTGAGCCTGTGTGCTGACATCAGGTGGGAATGAGGGGCGGCAGTATTACCGAGTGGAGTAAGACACGTACACAAGTGTGTTAGTCTCTTCGTCGTAAACTCGCCGAACCTGCAGCATGTCAGCAACTAGAACAAGAAGTAGCTCGAGGTACTCGAAGGCTCTTGAACAGCAGAGATCTCGCCTGCGGAAGGCGTGAGCTTCAGCAGTCCATGAGAGGATGAGGTTGCCTGCTCGAAGACTTCTTCTCCTTCTTTTCCTTTCTTCATGTCGGCAGCGAATCTGCAGATCACGTGATAAGGATCATTCTTTCATCCCTGCCTCCCATCACTCGATCGGGCCAGTCCTAGCGCAGGCGATGGAGGCCTGCGTGGGGTCCGAGAAGAAGTTCTTCTGCAGCCTGTCGGTGATGGGGCGCTCGAAGTCGGTGATGTAGAGCTCCACCCCCTTCACTTTGGGGTCCTGGCGGGACAATGAGAGGAAGCAGCAGAGCGGCGGGAGACGAGCACCTTGAAGGAAGTGACCTTGATGATGTCCTTGAAGATGAGGCCTGGTGACACCGATGAGAAGGACACACGAGGCAGGAGCGAGGCAGGGATGAGCCATGAGGCCGTTCTTTCCTGAAGCTGGAATCTCGCCTATCTCCCGAGGATCGTCATTGGCTCCTGCCACTGCACAGAAATCACAACAAGGGCGAGAAGAAGGTGTTTGACCTGCAGGGAGGAAGGAGGAGGCGAGAGCTCCAGCCGTCAGAGAGAGGAAGCTCTTCCTTCCGACTGCAACCAAGTGAGAGGGTCGCACGCGGGTGATACAGATGAACATCGATCAGCATCAGGAGATCCTGACGACATGCTGAATGCTGCTGCTCGTCGCTGGACATGGCATAGCTGCTGCCTTATCAGAGCAGAACTCTATCAAACTTGGTCAGCGGGCAGCAAGTGTGAGCTGATTGCTGTTACCCTCGTATTCCCAGGTAGAGTCTGGCTCCATGCAGCACAACTAGGAAGGAGAATGGCAAGGAACAATGGCGCTTTCATCATCTGTGGGCAATATGTGAGCCATTTCGAACGGTTAGGTCATCTGTTTGCGAGTGGTTTCTTCCTTCACTGGTTACTTTCGCCTATTGCTTTCGCTCTCCGTCATCTTTCTCCATCTCTTCCACCGTCTCGTCTCTCTTCCCTTTCTGCTCCTGCCTCGCAACTTTTAAAAGTTTAACCAAGAAATCTCTTTATTGACTGAAAAAGAAGGGCAAACCGGAGCAAACAAAGGAGGACGAGGATAAAGCCTACAAACCCGCCTCAATAAAATACTAGGAAACGAAGGAGGCAGTGAAAACCGCTACTCCAACCACGCAAGAGACGGCCGCGTGATGCACGACAAGCAGGGGACTAAGGATCATAGGACAAACTTAGCAGTCTGTCACTAGTAGCGCAAGGATCCTGCCACGGAGGAGGACGGCAATACCCATGCGAGAGCGATACTGCCGACTCGCCAGACGAGCTGTAATAAGCTTTCAAGTTAGGCCCGGCGGCCCCCCGGCGGCCCGGCGGCGCCGGGCGCCGGGCCCGCATGGCAGTGGCCCACCCCGGGCCCGGGACAGTGCGGCATCATGGCATGACGTGACGGTTTCAATCAACCGTGTGATTCAGATTCCCGGAACCGTTTGGCCCACCGTCACGCGCCGGTGACGAACGGTCGGCCCACGGCGTGGCACGCCGTGGCTCGTAACTTGCTTGCCACGGTCGCAGGACTGACCGTACTCACTGAGTCACCGTCGGTGCCGACCGGGCCCAGTGCCACCGGAGCCGCTTCATGGGCCGCTTCAAGTTGACTCCCGGTCACTCGGAACTTCGGGCATGATCGCCGGGCGCCGATCATCGGCGCCGGGCCGGGCCCGGAGTCCCGCCGCACTCACCGGGTGACCGTACCGTCCGGCCCGTGCCAGTGTACCGTGACGACGGTAGCCCGGCCTCTGAGAATCGAGTGACACCGTACGGTCCGGCGTGGCACGGGATCATGGTTGTTGCAGTAGCAACGGTCACCCGGCGGAGCAACTTCAGTCAACTCACAACGGTCATCAGTGTCCGACTCGCCGTCACTGAAGCACCTCCTGACGCCTTTTCCAGTACCCGTACCGATAACCCTCTGCACCCACCCCTACCCATGTGACATCCGCAGAATACCCCTCCTTTTACCCGAATAAGTACCGGTATTTATTGACCCAAACAGTAAATGACTTCATTGTCCGAGAGTGTAAGTGGGTGGGTGGGTGGGTGCCGTACCCCCCACGGGTGATCATTTAGTGATACCTTCACGAGGAAACGATCTCCCTAGGGGTGCAAATACAGATATATAAGGGGGTAGGGGTGTGTACCCACCAAGGGATCCCTGGAGCGTTGAGTCGGGTCAGGATGTTTGAGAACAGGGTAGGGTACAGGCATCTCTAGGGGTAGGGGTGGTAACATATAGGATGGACGGGACCATTCAAAGGGGAATTGGCTCATAGCTTGTGGGTGGGGTGAGACCCAAAGGGGGGTGGGGGGTGGGGGTATATAACCCGTCAGGACGAGGCCGTCGGTGTCTCACAATGCTCAGAGCCGCTGCAGCCTCCGCCCTCGTCGCCAGCGCCTTCGCGTTCACTGCTCCTGCTGCCTCCCCGGGACTTCGCGCCAAGCCCTCGGTGAGAAGCTGCCGGGTCCTGTGCCTCCCTCATGTCAGGGCCTCTCAACGATTACACCACAGAAGATGGTGGATGCTAACTGGTCGTGTGAATGGCATTGGAGGAGGTGGCGTGCGAGATGTTGTTTGCTGGCTGCAATTTCGGGAACTGCGAGAAATTTGAGACAAATGTTTGTGCTGATGTGATTGGAGTATCCTCCTTGCTTTCTGTTGCCAGCATTTTGACACGCGCGTTCGAGCCTCACGCATGACGTGGCGATTTGCGCTCACCAGTATGTGTTAGGTATGCGCAGTTGAGATGCAGGCTGACGGCCTCTCTCGCCGTGACCTCATCAAGAACGTGGCTGCCTTCGGGGTTGCTGCTGCTCCCGTGCTCGCCAATGCTGAGATTGACTATGCCAACGTTCCTTTCCTCGGAGGGTCTGACAAGATCGATATCAACAACGCCAACGTTCGTGTGTACACCAAGGTAAGGACCAGCAGCAGAGAAGGAAGAGGGGAGAGTGCCAGAAGGGGGCTTGTCTCTTGTCTCTCCTGGTCTGACCTTCCTCTCAGCTTCCTGGCATGTACCCAACCATCGCAGGCATCATCTGCAAGGTGACACGACCATGAACACATCTGTTGGCTCACACCTGTATCAGTACGGACCTTACCAGACGGTCGAGGATCTCTACAAGGTTCCCAGCCTTTCTGCCGAGCAGAAGCAGATCATCAAGAAGTATGAGAAGAACCTCCTCGCCCTGGACCCTGCTCCTGAGGTCAGACCTCAATCCTTGCCTTGCTTGGCGTCTAACCTGTCTTGCAGTACATTGAGGATAAGTTCAACAACGGGCTTTACCGGTAAACATGTAGAAAACAAAGTCGCGGGGAGTGAAGAGGATGGGAGATGGGGGATGTCGTCTTTTAGATTGTCATAAAGTATTATGAGATTCCCCTGTGCGTAAAATATACTCATCCAGGCAATCGAAACTATCAACGTTGACGATGAACCTTACGCAAACCTAATCAAGTGGGAAGATATGTATGGATTGTTCAACTGAAGGGAAGGCAGCATATTACTGCCGATATTGGCGTGCGAGAGTGATAATGTTTCAGTATTTCGTAGTTCACTGCTAAACACTTGATATTTACGTCACCGGACATACTACATTTTCACTGTCACTGAAATTTGAAGTTGATCTCAAGCCAGGTGTACACTTCTTCTTCAAGCATACTTGCATGCTTCGTCTACGTCATCAGCTGATCCTGTTGGATTCGTCAGTTCCTGCTGACTCAACAATCTTGATGCAGACCGATGAAGATCGGGACGCGCTGATGCAGCTCCTGCGGCTGTGCGAATCGTGAGAGTCTGAGCTTGAAGTATTTACCTAGAGACCTCGATGTCCAGCACCCGCTCCTTTCCTGTCGATGCCTTTCCGCCTGCCTGCTCAGCGAGCATCGCCATTGGGCTAGCCTGCACTCTTGGATCAGATCCAGGCATGGCAACCATGAGAGGATACCTCATAGAGGAGGCGGAGCTTCCCGTTCTTGTTCTTTGCGTCGGCAGGATACAAAAATAAGCCTCCGTAGAGCAGCGTCCTGTGCATGTCGCCGACCTGATCGCAAGTCACGCCAGGCAAGAGGAAGAAGATGCAATGTCACCATGGAGCCGATGTAACGGAGGCCGTACTTAGTCTTCGACTCTCCTTCACCCCTGCAGATCTTGTCGAAGTAGGTTTTGAGTGACTCGGGCCATGCAGGGATGTTTCCCTGGTTGCAGGAGTAGATCTTGCCGCGCTTGGGCATGGCGACGTTGGGATGGGTGAGGACGAACTCTCCCGACGACGAGTCGAGGGTAAATCCTGTGAAACCATGAGGAGGACAAGGAGGAGGACAAGGAGGAGGACAAGGAGGAGGACAAGGAGGAGGAGAGGGAGACAAGGAAATTGGAAAAGTTTCAAACCATTGACTCCGTCTCCAATCGTGATCATCAAGATAGTACACGTGCTGTACATGCAGTATCCTTCCAGCAACGTCACAAACATTGCTCTGCATGGTCTCTCCCTCACCCGCAGCCACCTGCTCCGATCCCTTCTTGAGAGGGAATTCCTCGGCATTCTTAGCGCCCTTGTAGATCCCGAAGATGGTTCCTGCGTTCAATCAGGCCCTCCTCCTCTCGACAGAAGTCCATACCGACGCTAATCGCTGCATCGATGTTCGAGGAACCGTCCTGCGACCTTGTCAATGAACGCATGCGCATGCAGCAAAGCGGACAAGAGGGTCGAACACAGCAATGTAGTCCCCGCCAAACTTTCCCGTAATGCGGATAGCCTCATCCTCCTCTTCCGACCCGAGGTAAGCCTGGAATAAAAGCTGAGCTTGCTCCTCTCTCCGGCCTGTCTTACCATGCAGCCACTCTTCGTGAGCTTGTCCTTGAACACATCGTTTGACAGGATGTCGAGCTTCTTCTGCTCCTCTCCCTGGACATTCTCACCAGTTCCTGCTCAGCACTGTCACTTTTCTTCATGATTTCTCACACAGCCACGGACCAGCCATGCCCGTCATGTCCTGGATACCAGCCTTGCCGACCATATCGGCGATGGATCTGCCGATGGATCAGCTCTACAGGCAAAACCCTATCGCCCACACCTGCATGCCGACTGAATCCCAGAGAAGATCGCCTCGAGGTCTCGCATAGTCGGATCTCCCCCTGAAGCTGCAAAGTCAGACAGGATTCTGTCCTCCCCCTCCTCACTCTCCTATCGCCTTCTCGCGCAAGAAATCGCTCAGGGTGGTGGAAAGTCGATCTTTCTTTGAGTAGACCTGAGAGCCTTTGTTTAGTCCACAGCGAACAAGCATCCGAAAGCAACCTCCTCCTTCTCCCCCTGCCCCCCGCCCTCCCCTTTCCCCCTCTTTGTCCTCAAAGTCCACCTTGAGAAATTCCTCCGCCTTCTTTACACGAACATGCGTAGCCGCACTGCCACCGCGAAGACGAAGGGCTGAGGGATGCGACATGAGCTCCTCAGACCACTCCTCCTTCCTCGCTTCTACCTTGAGGGACAGCTGCCGGAGCCTGCATACCTCCGCTGGCCAGTACGGCCAGCATCATCGTAGAAATCAAGACGACTCTGATCATATCTGACCTGCACAACTTACGTGAGCGAATGTGCTGGGCATTAGATGTTGGTGTAAAAGAAGGCTAGACAAATGCCGTAAGTTATGAACGAGTCTGGTTAAAGAGTAGCATCCAACTGTTCGAAATATGCACAAGCAATTGCTTCAATTCTAGAGCATTGAACCCACGTAACATAGAAGTGAAGTATGAAGAAGATGTTTTGTTGCCCATTACATCCAATGTAAATTGGGTTACTACGCACAACTCATCGCTTGATATCATTTCCTATACTTTCCGCTGCATATCTCGTCATGTCTAAGACTCAAGAAGGATCGTCAGGTTCGTTCTCATCATCAGCTCCGTCCATGTCTTCCTCGTCATTTCCCTCCTCCTCTTGTTCTTCTTCCCATCTTCCACCTCCCATTGCCTTCTGAGGTCGCCTTGCACCCCACCATACCCCACCCACCTGATCCTGGAACCCCACCTACCTGCAATACCTCTATCTTCACCCCGTTTAAGCCATTAAAAAGTACCGGTATATTCACAGCATTTACTACCCCCACCCACATTCCTCGTCCCCAACCTTACGATTGTGTTTCCCTGTTGTTGTGCACCCCACCCCTAAATTTGAGGAAGCCTTCACCCCACCACCCCCATTTTTGATGCCTTAGCTCAATCTTCATACTGAATCTCAGTTACTTGCAGTACAAATTTACCCCACCCTACCGTATTCCAAGTTCGTTTTACCACCCCACACATTGCTACCCACTGATTGACTTGTGTGATCTTCTGTTAATCGTCGTATAAACGTTCATGACTGGTTTTGCATTTCACCCGGTCGCCGCACCTGGCACCCCTTCTGGACCCCCACCCCCTGAGATCTCTCAAAATCTACCCCTACCTCGCCAAGCCCCTCAGTGCATCATGGGCGCCGGGCGGCCGGGCACTGACTGATGATTGGGGGCCCCCGGTCCCGGCGGCCGGCCCGGAGTCCGACCGGGTGAGTCGCCGGGCCGCCTGATCAACCCTCAGACCGGACGGTACGGTGAGCCTCCGACCGTAGGGCCGGGGGTATCAATCATGATACTATGATAGTAAGACTGACTCTCGCAAAGCCAGTAGCGGCCCGGACCCCGGTCCGGGCGGCCCGGCGCCGGGTCCCGACTCCTCGGACGGTCCCCCCGGCCGGGCGGCGGGCGGCGGCGGCCCCGGGCCGGCGTGCCGCTCAGAGTCGCCGGACTCCGCTACCGGGTACACGCCGCCCGGCCCGGGCGCCGGCGCCCGGCGTACCGTCCGTCACTCAGCCTTAGTAGTACTACGCGGCCGCCGCCGGAGTCCGGGCTGTCACGGCGGGCTACACTGTGACAGTACAGTACGGGTCACGGTCACTGGCCCAGTGACCGGGCCGGGTCACTGTCACGGACGGGTCCGGTCGCCGGTCCGGGTCCGACGGACTTCGTCCCGGCCGGGCCCGGCGGGAGCCGCTTCCGCCGGACTGAACTTACGGTCCGAATACCGGGCGGGCCCAAGGGCCGGGCCCGGCCCGGCGGGTCCGACGGTCAGGGACTCGCCGGTCGCCCGGAGCCGCGCCCGGGCTCGCCGGGCCGCCCGGGCCCCGGCGGCCCGGCCCGGCGGCCGCGCGATCCGCCGGATATCCGAGTCACAGGCCGCGCTGAGACGGTCACTGATCAGATCGGCCGCGGTCGTGAACTATCATCGCGGCCGCAAATCACTGAACTTCCGAAATCCTTGGCATTACATTAGTCACTAAGTTACGTGACTAAGTTATGAGCCAGCCTGGCGGCGGGCCGGGGCCGCGGCCGGGTAGTACTAGCCTAGCTAGTCACGGTAGGCTAGCCGCTCAGTGCCAGGCCGGGCGGCCGTGCCAGCTAGCCTCCGAGGCTCCGAGGCTCTGCCAGCGGCAGTGCCAGCCGGGCCGTGACGGTCGCCGGACACCGTCCGGTGGGCACCGTGCAAACTTGGCTGGCCCGGCACGCCCGGCGGCCGGTCCGACCGGGCCCGGCCACGATCGGACGGCCCAGTGCGGCCCGGCACCGTGGCGGCAGTGGTGTTGCTCTCACGGTGGCAGTGCCCCGGTGGCAGTGCCGCCCGGAGCGGCTGTTCCGAGTCAACTCAGTGAGTTCCGAGTCCGACTCTCAGTCAAGTGCCCGGCCGGGCCGCGCCGGACTCGACTCTCAGTGTACCTACAGTATGGGGATGTGGGTGGAACCCGGCAGGCGGCTCTTCGACACAACAAAAATGCGGGGGGAGTAAGCGCAGTGAAGTGACGATGATGAGGATGAAGAGACAGTGAGCGCAAAGAGGAAAAATGAGAAGAGGAAGAAGAGGATCATCCGAATGAAAGGAAGGGAAAGGAACAAGAGTTTGGGATGGGGCGGATGGGGCGGATGGCCAGAATGGATAGGGGATGATTTGGTGGAGAGAGGTACAAGACATCTGAGCAGGAAAGGGGGCAGGATTGGCAGAGTTAAGATTGGGAAGAGATCGTCGGGATCTAAACTGCAGTGAAGAAATGATCCAAGTAGGAGAGTACTTCATTGACAGAAGCTTCAAGTAACAAGTGAAATTATGTTGAAAACAGTGAAGAAGTGGAGGAGTTCCAGCAACGGTTGGAAGGATGTAGCCCAATTATCAGACACCTGGTACAAAACTCGTGGATTCTAATTTGTGGATATCTGCCATAAAATGAGCATGGATATATATGGAGATTTGTACGAACGTTGGCCTGTTTTTATCAAGTAGTAGCAACAAGGGAAACAGAATCATCTTAATATCCGAGTCGGATCCGCACACTTCAGCATCGTCTCAAAGATTGGGTTGTGATGAATCGGAACTGATTGGGTGTATCGCAGATGAAGGGGTCGTTCCTTCTTGTTGCTATGGCTGTAGCGGTGCACGTTGTGAATGCTTACGTGCCATTAAATCAGTTTGAGGAGGTGGAGATAGTTCCAACGGTGTGTAATCTACTAGTGTACCTGTTCTCTGATATCCTACTCCTGCAGGTTGTCAGGAGAAGGCAATTTCCTTCCTTGTCTAGGACTCAGTTGCTGCGAGCGCAAATGCTCTGCCAAGACGGTATGAGTGAGGAATGCAAGAAATACTTTGAAGAATCCATGCAGAAAGGTTCCAACACTCCTCCTTTGGTTGTTTTCATGTTGATTGATTTGTCAGCTGGTGAGAGGTACAGTGACGAAGGTTACGGCTTGGGTGCAAGAGCTTGAAGCTTCCTCATGTTACAGGTGACCATTTTTCTACAGGCGAGGGGTACTATGCCGACTACGCTGACATCGATGAAGACGCTGATGTGGGTGTCTTATCCATGCCATACCCGGTGATTGTCACGCGTGGATTCTTGGTAATGACAAGATGACAGCTCAATTACGACTTAATTCAATCTCACAAAGTCTCGATCTCCGGCACAAAGCCGTGCGGTGCTTGCTCTGAAGAATCACAAGAAGCTTGACTATGATATGATTTGCTTTCTCTCAAGCTGTTTGTGGTGGAATGCAACATAAAAAATATATCCTATTCTGCAAATAAACTATTTGCTCAAATGAATCCATCGCTCAATCTCTTACGTACCGGATGATCAACTATCACACGTGTGTACAAATGAATGGATTACATCTTTACCATAACGGAAAAGATTCCTACTAAGATCTTAAACTACTTGCGCGTTTGGGAATCTCCCGGCAAGCAGAACAAGAGTCCAAGAGGAAAAATAGCATTTCCAATGCTTAGAACCACTCGCCGAAGTAAAGAGGGCGCTGCTCGTGGTGGAGGTACTCCATGCGCCACATCCAGAGCTGGGAGGTCTGCTGCTTGGTCTGGGAGAACATTATTCCTGTATTTTCGTCAGAAAGTTTTGTCGCCAAAATAGATGCAGGTGGAAAGCATATTTCAGAGAAAGACATACATGGATAAAGAGAACAACGCTATTCATCACATCTGGCTGCCTATTCCAACCCTCAGTTCTACTACCATACTGTACATGCATCGTACTACTGCTGGAAGATAGCAACATCCTGACGCCATGTGCATGCTTGCATACCTCTTGGGTTTGTGCTCCAAGCGGCGCGGCCCTTGTTTATATAGGGCTTCGAAGAGACAGCCGTTATACCCTTTCGACTGAACATAACCGTCGTGAAGGGACACCCTACCCCAGGGTTTTTCATGTCTGACCTTTAATCACCATCACCCCTACTAAAGCCTGGAAAGGTACCCCCATTGGTCCACCTACCCCACCCACTGCTCAACTTTGAAACTTTGAAACTTCAACCTGTTCAAAACCTCAACTTCGAAACTTAAACTTTTCATCCCATGGGGTCCTCGGGGGTAGTGGAAGGGGTGGGGTAGTTACACGTGCGATTGTTCTTTTGTCCACAAGGGTAGGGGTTGGAGGGGTTGGAGGGGTAGAAGCAGTGGGGTGAGGCATCAGCATGGGGTACAAGATAAACTTTCCTTCGGTTCTGTCTCAATTGATCAGTTAGATCCTCTTACCCCTGGTCTCAGATACCACCCCCTGATTGATTTACTCCATCGTACCACCACAAGCACACGACATTGCACCATGCAGGTCGGGGAGCCGCACATGCTGGCGCGGGCAGGGGCAGGAGGGAAGATGCTGGGGACAAGCATGGGGGGATACTCACTGTCAGAGGCTGAGAGGAGAGGACAGACCTCTCACTATCTCCCTCCCTCCTCTGTTGCCTGCACTGTACTGCCTCACGGGGTTCAGGTCATCGATTGCCTAACATCAAAGTGTACGAATAGTTGGGGGCTGAAGGGAAAGGCTCCTCTTCTTCCTGCAGTTGTGAGTTATAACATTGTTTTACTGTCTCTTCGTATCCATGTCTCCGTGTCATTCTGCCATGTTGCCTGTGTTTGTTGTCTTGGTTTCTTCAAATGCCATATGCTTCAACGAACAGTTTTCCCTGGAGTTGAAGTCTCTCAGTTGCAAAGCCATATTATGATGCAACCTGGCATCTTGACATTGTGATCTGAAGTTTTATGCTGAATTAAAGATTGGTATCCATGATTTGCTGTATGTGCTGTGGTTTGTGGGGCAACGAATGGTTAACAGCTTTTTTCAAGATTGTTGGACGAGGAAGCACATTAGCGATGGCCTGCGAGGACAACACCATCATCTCATGGTCGTCAACGAATGAATCTGATTTAAGCAAGGCCAACAAGTACAACCTCAAGGTCTCAAAGTCAAGTGCTACATACTGGTCACTAATTTTCCAAATCTCCAGGACAGGAAAGTTTTCAAAATTCTTGCACACAACATGCTCGATGGTCTTCTGGTGGTCGACAAGAATTTCGGAATGCTTCTTCTGAGTTCAGATGTCAAGAGGGAGCTAGCGAGTGCTGACCTGGGGGTGAACAAGGGGGCTCGGATCGAGCACATGAGTATTTGTCCAGTCAAGGAGGGAAATATCAGCTCATCTCAGAGTGACAGCTTCTTTCTTGTTTCAATAGGCACCAACGTCAGCGGTAACGCATGCGTGTGGCGAAGTCGCTTCGGCTGCTCTGCAGATGGTTCATGGTTCTTCAACAAAGCAAAGTTCGACTTGCTGCCAGCGCATGCAGACAGCAGAGAGGCTCGCTTGCTCGCTTGCTCCTTGCACTCGGGAACGACGAACTTCTCTATCTTGTGGGACAATCACGTATGGCAGCAATACCGTATGTCAGGTGGCGGCAGCGCAAAGCCGTCGCTGACGAGCAGCAGGAGGATGAGAGATCTGGATGGACTGGCGAGCTCAGACAAGGACGAGACGTGCAAGACGATGGTGATAGGGACCAGCGATTACCTGCTGGTGGCTGGGAGGATGCAAATGCGAGGGAAGGGAGCAGTCGAATCAAAGCTAACAAACGTCGTTCGGGCCTACGACCTCAGCTACGGAACCGTGCAAGCAGAGATAGAGCTCAAGTGGAATGCGCAAGACGACGATATGAGTGACTCCTCGTCGTTTGTAAGCTTGACACCTCATTGTCTGCTTCTCTCACTTGCTCTTCAGAGAATCCTCGACGCAAAGCTCAACGCAGAAGGCTCTGTGTTGACCATCTCGTCTGACAAGTGCGTCCTCTCCTGCGCAATCCGATCGGCTCCGATGAGTCTCGAGCTTGTCCTTGGCAAGGAAATCAACGAGAAGGAGCTGGAGCCTCCGACCTCGTTTCGGCCCATCAACGTAAATTATGACCTCCCACCTCCCTTCTTCTCCTCCTCCTCCTCCATACTTTTCGTTCGCCTCTCTTCCTCCGCCTTGATGCTACAAGACCCTGACTGTCTCAACCAGGTTTTGTCGTGTGTTGTTGGCGTTGACGATGACAAAAAAGGAGAGGCAAACATCTCCGCACTCGCCCTGGAAGCTGTTGGTCGAGCTGTCAAGGAAGGAAACAGAAGAGAAGGAGCCGTGTTGGATGAGCTCTCATCCATGAGGGAGTGAGTGCTTGCTCCGTTCCTGCCCTCAGCTAACGCCTCCATCAGCCCAGCTGAGATGACCAACTGCATCAAGGCATACATTGACGAGCTTCACGCAGAAGCAGTGCAAGCAGACCTGCTCAAGAAAACTGGCGGTGAGGAGAGGCGGGGCATGAACGACTTGTTGAAGGTGGCGCAGGAAAAGGACGAGGGAGCGCGCGCAAGGTTAAGGTGGTGATGTCAGACTATCTCGTCCGGTGGGTTGTCAGCAAGTGCACAGAGGAGGAAGTGAAAGGAAGGCTGGACAAGGCTGCCATCGCCCTTGTGCAGGCTGGTGCCATCAGCACTCGCGCCCATCCTCGCCTCGTCCCCTACGCAATTGAGGTAGCTCACGAGTCGCTACCATGGCGAGCTGACTTGCGCAGACTGGAAACCTGCTCCTGCTTGAGGCTATTTTGCGAAACGTGCATGACCTCTCGGAAGAAGACATCGTGAAGAGCTTGAAACTTGTCCTCGTCTGCATCAAGAAGAGCTCGATGGACGCTTATGTCACTGCGGTAAGATGATGATCACCTCCAGCATCTTGTCTCACATTTTATGCCTCCCCTGCCTTCCTTCTCTTCTCCTTCCCTCCCTCTCATCGTTCCTCGACTCCTTGCTTCATGTCGATTCATGTGCCCGTGTGGCCTCCTCGCTCCTTGTTAATTTTTCTTTCGGTCAGATGGCTGCGGAGTTTCCCGATCTTCCTGTCCTAGACCACGACGCCGTTCGCCGTCACCTGCTTGACTGCATCATGCTCGTCCAGCGCGACCACTGGCTCCTCGTCAAGGAGCTCCGCAGCTTGTCGGTCAAGGAGGCTCTTCGATTTCTCCGCTACTGCCAATCGCTCTTGCAGGTGAGCGTCTCCTGCGTCTCCTCCTCCTCACCTCAGTCAGATGCACGGAGTCGCTGCCAACGTGAAGCACCAGAGGCCGAAAGGAGCCCGCGCTCCCCCCATCTCTTGCGTGGTCGACTGGACCAACGCCGTGCTTGACGCTCACTTCTCCTCCCTCGTCCTCAACACGGACTGCCACGGGCTGCTCAAGGTGAGGAGGGAGGGAGAGAGGGACTGCAAGGCTAAGCAGGAGCAGGAGCTGAAGGAATTGGCGCGAGGAGAGCGGCAGCTGACGCGGGAAGTGGCAAGCATGGACGGGCTACTGCTGCACCTCCTGCGTCGCCAATCACTCCCGGTGAAGCCCATGAAGTTTTACGCTGTCGAGACCCTGTACTTATGAATTTAAAACAACGCGAATGACCTACGAGAGGAGGGGGTCGAATGACCTACGAGAGGAGGGGGTTGTCTTCTACTTGCGCTGATGATGCCATAGCTGCCCATGCCTCCAGCAGCGCCATTGAAGACGTCAGGCTCGGATGTTTGTCGCTTGCTCTTCACTGCTCGTCTGCCGACGGCCTCGTGTTGGCTCAGCCGCTTGATTCTGGTCGATGACTGATGAGTCGTCCGACTCTCAAGGCTTCGCTTTGCGTGACTCAAGATTCCTCCCCGGCATCGGTCGGGTCCCGCCGGTCCTTGGGCATTGCTGCGCCGTCGCCGCCGTCACGGGCGGTGGACTACCTCGAGCGGTACCGTGTAAATCCTATTTGCCGTGCTCCTGTGTCCAGCCTCCCTCCGTCCGCTGCCCCCGGCGGACCCCCGGGCAACGCCGGCTCCTTGTCGGCGGCTGCCCTTTCTCCGTCCGCGACCCGGCGCCAGCTTTGTGGCGGCAGCGGACGTCTCGACTGACAGTGGTCAGTCGGCTGCCTCCGGGTATCGCATTAATCCTCCTGCATGCTCCTGCTGCTTGTTGCTTGATTGCTTGACCCTTCGGCTGCTTGTCTGCGCGGCTTCGCGCGTGGGCTGGCGCTGCCGGGTCTGCTGACGGTTGCCAGCAGTGCTGGTTCTTTTCGGGCTTGTGTTTTGTGTGTGATTGTGCAGCTTCTCGCTGTGCGCTGTGTGCCTGGAGGTTTAGCTTGTTCCTGCTTTGTTTTGCTTGAGGCACTTTTTACCTTCTGCCAGTAAATCCATTGCATGTCTCGAGCGCTGGAGGGTACCTGCCGTCGAGACCGAGGATCCCCCAAGGCGCAAGCTTGCCCTCTTGCGAGCATCTCCGTTTGTTCGCCTCCTACCTCTCCAGCTACTATGGAGACTCTGCTGACCTTCGACTCTTTCACAAAAGTCAGTCAGCCTCCGTTCAGTGCCACGGTGTACCTCGGGCGTCTGTCAGGGCGATGTCCCCTCCAGCGTGTTTTTCTGCCACAGTATCCACCCCCCAGTGCTCCTCCATATCACAGAGCTTTTTCCCTCTGTTCGAGTCTTGGCCTATGCTGACAACGTCGTACTTGTCGGTCCACTCGAGGATGCCGTTGCAGCTACGTCCGCTATGAAGAAGTACATGGTGGCTGATCTGAAGCTAGAGATTCAACCTCGCGAGTCGAAAGTTTACATCCCCTCCTGGCATCAACACCCTGATCTCTCGCAGCTGAAGAAGAGCCTTAAGCGCCGTCTCAAGACTCAACTTCTTCACTTCGAGGTCGTCACTGGCGGGATTACACTTGGCGGCCTGCCTATCGGCACGGATGGATTTCATGCTAGTCAGCTCCGAGCGAAGGTTTCTACCCTCAACGAAGAGCTCTCGAAGCTCGGGCTCGTCCAGCATGGCTTCATGTTCAAGACGCTGGTGAGGGCGAGCCATCTCCAGAAGCTGCGCTTCTTCCTCCAGGGGTCTTCTCCGTTTCTCCCGCGGGTCCAATCACAGATTCGTCGCTTTGACCTCTCTGTCCACCTGGCGCTTGAGAAATACCACCGCTGGCCTTCCTCGCAGTACCTCGCCGCGCATCCCGACCTGCTAGAGTTTGCGAGGTTCAAGCGGGAGCTTCCGCATAGTCGGGGTGGGGACGAGTTCACGCCCTCTGAGGGTCTACACCCCGCTGTTTACTATACGGCTATCGCTCGCTTCCTCGCTTGGTACTCTGACCAGCCCATGTCCCGGACCCTGCCCTCTCCTCATAGCCTGGACGTTCACTGCTCGAGATCTCTCCGTGCCCAGAAGCATCCTCTGGCGACCTTCTTCGTTGAGGCGCACGACTTCGTTCATAATGCTGGAGCGATCCTCTACCGTCGTGTGAGGGCTCCTGCACCGGCTGCAGATGGCGCGGCGATCCCACCTGCCCCGGCTGCTGTGCCTGATGACGCAGGCCGCCCCCCGGCATCTGTGGTACACATCCCTGGTTTGCGCGCTCTCGTCGACTCGTCTCATGAGCACTTCATTCCGCCGCCTGCGCAGCGAAATGTGACCCCTCTTGTCATGCGCGTCTTCCCTCGCCATGTGCATGCTCGCGCTGCGCTGACCGATCAGCAGCGTGATATCCTCACCTTGCACAGCCGCAGGACACACTCGCTCAAGTCGCAGGATAGGGTCTTGCAGTCTACCATCTTCGCTCATTTTCCTGAGCGTGACCTGAGCCACTCTCCGATGCGAGTCTCGAGCTACTACCCCCTCAAGGCCTTCCCGCACCGCTATGCTCAGATGCTCGACTGCTATCTCCATGGCATGCCGATCTGCCAGTGTCCGACGGAATGTGATGGATGTCAGCGCGAGCTCGACCCCTCCGTTGCTGCACATCATCTCCAGACCTGCAAACGCCGATCCTCCAAGCTTCCCACGGCGCATGACAACCTTACTCGTACGATTCGGTCGATGCTGAACGAAGCTGGTCTTCAGAGCGTCATCGATACAGTGGGTATAGGATTTACTGGCAGAAGATAAAAAGTGCCTCAAGCAAAACAAAGCAGGAACAAGCTGAACCGGCAGGCACACAGTCCACAGCGAGAAGCTGCACAATCACACACAAAACACAAGCCCGAAAAGAACCAGCACTGCTGGCACCCAGACGCGGCACCGCCAGCCCAAGCGCGAAGCCGCGCAGACAAGCAGCCTAAGGGTCAAGCAATCAAGCAACAAGCAGCAGGAGCATGCAGGAGGAAGAAAATCCCTTAGACGCGATACCCGGAGGCAGCCGACTGACCACTGTCAGTCGAGACGTCCGCTGCCGCCACAAAGCGGGCGGCCGCGGACGGAGAAAGGGCAGCCGCCGACAAGGAGCCGGCGTTGCCCGGGGGTCCGCCTGGGGCAGCGGACGGAGGGAGGCTGGACACAGGAACACGGTACCGCTCGAGGTAGTCCTCCTCGCTAGCCTCCGAGTCAGCGGTAGCCAAGTCAGTGGTAGCCGCCCGTGACGGCGGCGACGCCGCGGCAATGCCCAAGGACCGGCGTGACCCGACCGATGCCGGGGAGGAAGCAGGCGAGCTCGGACCAGCAGCAAGCACCCCAGTGGTGTCGAGCTCTCCGGAGGCACCCGACGTCACAGTGAGGGACGGAGGCGCCTCGCCAGCTCCGCGCCGATCGTCGGGGCCACTCGAAGGGTTTCCCCCATCGGAGTCGGAGACCTCCGGCGAAGACTCCTCGGGCGACTCGACAAAGTCCGAGGAGGAGCTGTCCTCTGGCTCGAGAAGTGCAGTGGGGGATCCTTGTTCTCGACGGCAGGTACCCTCCCATCCTCATGGTGGCCGCAAGATGAAGGGCGATATCCACATTCCTGGAATCCGCGATCGAGGGTCCGAGCAGTACGAGGGCTTGATGGCGGACGTGACGTTGGTCCACCCTTACATTGGTAGCTCTGCCGACCTGACCAAGTGGGGGGAGGTCAACCTCGACGCCCTCCATGTTGCAGCGTCTGAGAAGATTCGCAAACATCGCGCTGCATATGCCATGACTACTCCTCCTCGAGCGTTCATCCCTCTTGCCAT